TTGAACAACTTCCACACAGGCACAGTCATAATATGTAGTAATTCCCCTTCAATTCAGGTGCCCAGATCGACTGTCGTATGACAAGGCACGTGATGCCGAGTCTAAGATGTGGGGCGCGCTTTATTAGTGAGTGCGGAGAGATGCGACATTCTCCCCAACTTCCATCCGACTATCCACGGTTACCCCGAATCGCATTACCCCAAGCCGCGCAACAAGGGCAATCTTGCTCATCTCGGAGGATTGCAAACTCTGGTATATCTAAGGTAATGGCACCGTGATCTTTCAAATCGCGACAGGATTGACTGACGTATCAACTGGCAGTAACATTGCGCAAATGTTCTCTTCGGCTAGACTTGCTGCCCGGCTGGTGAGTAGCGGACTGAACAACAAGTGCCTTCGAGCAGATACTCTGCAATATAATCATCCTATGGAACTAACATTGACGGTTTCTGTTGTAAATAGGGAGCAGGCACCCGGTGTTTGTCAACAAGTCGTAGACCTGTCCTGTCAGTCCCGCGGCAGCTGGTCTCGTGTCCAGATACCGCTCCTTTTGCAAGGAAACGGACGAACTCGACGGCCTCGACTTCAAAGGAAGACGAACTTGAACCGGAAGATCGTCTACGTGAACTGATCGAAGGATCGAAAAAGCCGGGTCAAACCCCGGGGTCAGTAGACTCCAAGAATGGCATTTCATTGCGCATAAACAATGCGGGTCGTTTTGGCCTTTTGTATGTGGAATCTGAATTATGAATTTGGTTTCAGACATGGGAAGTATGCTAACTGATCATAGCGGAAAGACTTTTCTCAGGGAAAATTGCCGTTGTCCAGAGTGCACTCATCCAGACACAATGCAACGCATCGTGGACACGTTCAAGGTGGGTGTAATTGAACCTTTATAGTGGTCGTCTTTGGCTGATAATGCGATGCCACAGATACCTAAGAACCTCAAGGCAGAGAAAGTGGACTACGATAAAGATGGTGCCATCGTGCAATGTATGTTTAATAAAGGACTCCCTCTTGAACCCGAATTGACTTTGCAAAAGGGTCTGATGGACATCGTGCGACCTATCCGTTCTCTTTTCTCAATATATATTGTCTTCAGCCCGGGGCAAAGAAATATCAATGGCCGGGATTGGATCTCAGGTAAAATCTCTCTAATCCCTGTAATAGCGCAATTTGTCATTAACGTTAACCTCACCAGACCTGTGCCGACCCATTCCCCTTACGATCAAACTTATCCCACAGTTCTGTTCTCGAGAGTCATGGAAGATGACCAGGGCTTACTTGAATGGCTTGAGAACATTGTAGGTCACACCAGCATCTGATGTTCCACGTCCCCGTTGCTGATGTTTGTGCAGTATGAGTGGGGCTTCTGCTTTGTCAAGGGCGTGCCCACGACCCCAGAAGCTACAGAAGAACTGTTAAAACGGATCGCGTATATTCGGCCTACTCATTACGGTACAAAATCCCGGCGCCCCTCCTGTGCTTGATTCGGCAGCTAAATATAGTGTCAAGGCGGTTTCTGGGACTTTACGGCCGATTTGACGTTCAAGGATACTGCGTACACCACGGAGTTTCTCGGTGCCCACACAGATAATACCTACTTTACAGACCCCGCAAGACTCCAACTATTCCATCTTCTCTCCCACACTGATGGTGATGGAGGCGAGAGCTTACTTGTCGATGGGTTCCGAGCGGCCGAAACTCTGAGAGATGAAAACACAACGAACTACTTCGTCCTTGGCTCAACTACACAACCGGCACACTCGAGTGGCAACGCAGATGTTTGCATCCAGCCTGCACAGGAGTTTCCCGTGCTCAATTACCACCGGGGATTGAATCGGCTGTACCAGATCCGATGGAATAATTATGACCGCGCACCGAAGATGGACTGGTCATTGAAACAACAGACTGAGTGGTATCGTGCAGCAGGACACTGGGATTCAATAATCAAACGAAAGGACATGGAGATCTGGACCCAACTGGAGCCTGGGACGGCACTTAGTAAGTCATTCATGTCAACGGATTTCCCCCCCTTGTATTACGAACGCCGGGCTAATCAGAAATAAGTTTTCGATAATTGGAGAATGCTCCACGGCCGGTCGCAGTTTACTGGAAAACGCAGGATGTGTGGGGGCTACAGTACGTACTTTCCTTCTGGAGCGATGCTGGACAGACAAAAAGACAGACAAAAGCTGACACATTCCATTTAGTCAACGGCGATGATTTCATCTCCAAGTATCGTCTCCTCAAATTTGGCCGCGAGCGAGTCTTGAATAACCTTGGAAATTATCGGCGTTCTCCCATGAACCCAAGCTATTACCTTTGAATGTAAATAAATGCTTGATGGTTTTGTTTGCATAGCGATCTCGAGGGGGTGGAAGTTGACAGTCGGATGAATTCCCAAGGGTGTACACTCGATATGTATATAGATGGAAAATATGTCCACTCCGCTCTCGCAGTCAATACCAGGTTGTTACCATCACACTGGGACGTGAGGACCTATGATGGCTGGTACTACTCTCAGCCAAAACGATACAGTATACATCATCAAAGTTGCGGCATGTACTCCTGGGCTGCATGTTGGAGGAATTACGTAGATATCTGACCCATGCAATCAAAATAATGCATCTCTCTGAATATTCAAACCGAGTAAGAGCGATCCATGACGGTATGAAGAACTAGAGGTACCGTAGAGCATGTGCATACTAATGAACGATTAGTAAGTCGTGAACAGCGCACGGCTCATTGATGGGCCATCACGTGATGAAGGCAGGACAGCTGACGTTGTTTGACCGGGAGCTCAAGCATCATCTCTCAAGCTCACCTCCGGCCCTTCTCCCCATCTCCTTCCATTCGATTCCATTTCTGCTCACTCTTCCACCACCTCATTTAACACCACATCTCTTCCAATATAAGGTCACACATTTACCACGCACCATGTCCACCTTGGAAGACCTTGACGATCTCGAGCGCGAGGAGAGAGACAAGAAGAAGGATCAGGGCGATGGCGATGGCAGGAAGCCCGACGGAGGCGACGGAGATGCCGACATGGGCGACGCTGAGAAGAAGGACGAGGGAGACGAGCTTTTGGATGACGAGATCCTGAACTCCAGCACAGCGGACATCGTCAAGCGGCGGCGAATGCTGGAGAACGAGCTGCGCATAATGAAGAGTGAATTCCAACGATTGTCACACGAACAGAGTACGATGCGGGAGAAGGTCAAGGACAATCAGGAGAAGATTGAGAATAACCGGTATGTCGGTCTTATCCCATCCCACCCCATCTGTCCCTAGGGGTGACGTGCTGTGGCGGTGGTGCAACAACGGGCGCGGTCCTCGATCCAGCCGACTAACCATGTTCTTCTTTGTTCTTTCACAGACAACTACCATACTTGGTCGGAAACGTCGTCGAATTGTTGGATCTGGATGTCGAGGCCGAGGCAGCCGAAGAAGGGGCCAACATCGACTTGGACGCAACCCGGGTCGGCAAGTCTGCCGTCATCAAAACGTCCACCCGCCAAACCATCTATCTCCCGCTCATCGGTCTCGTAGACCACGAGCAGCTCAAGCCCGGTGACCTGATCGGTGTGAACAAAGATTCCTATCTGGTGCTGGACACGCTACCGGCCGAGTACGACAACCGAGTGAAGGCTATGGAGGTCGATGAGAAGCCGACGGAGAAATACACGGACATTGGTGGCCTGGACAAGCAGATCGAGGAGATTGTCGAGGCTATCGTATGGCCGATGAAGGAGGCGGAACGTTTCAAGAAGCTGGGTATCAAGGCGCCGAAGGGTATGGCTTCCTCCATTTCTCCTCACTATCATTATACTCACGTCTCTTCTTCCAGGTGCCCTGATGTACGGCCCCCCTGGTACCGGTAAGACTCTTCTCGCCCGAGCATGTGCCGCCGAAACAAACGCGACATTCCTCAAGCTGGCGGGCCCGCAGTTGGTGCAGATGTTCATCGGTGACGGTGCCAAACTGGTAAGAGACTGCTTCGCGCTGGCCAAGGAGAAAGCGCCCTCGATCATCTTCATCGACGAGTTGGACGCGGTAGGAACAAAGCGGTTCGACTCGGAGAAGTCCGGTGACCGTGAAGTCCAGCGAACGATGCTGGAGTTGCTGAACCAGCTGGACGGTTTCGCCTCCGACGACCGCATCAAGGTCCTCGCCGCGACGAACCGCGTCGACGTGCTGGACCCCGCCCTCCTGCGATCCGGCCGTCTGGACCGCAAGATCGAGTTCCCCCTGCCCAACGAGGAGGCCCGCGCAAACATCCTGCAGATCCACTCGCGCAAGATGTCCGTCGAGGACTCCGTCAACTGGGCCGAGCTGGCCCGCAGCACCGACGAGTTCGGCGGTGCCCAGCTCAAGGCCGTCTGTGTCGAGGCTGGTATGATTGCGCTGCGCAAGGGTCTGAACAAGATCGGTCACGAGAACTACGTCGACGCTATTCTGGAGGTGCAGGCCAAGAAGAAGGACACCAACATGGGTATCTATGTCTAAATAGATTCCTTAGCATGTTTTTGTACTTTTCCGGTTTTTTTGTGGTACGTCTGTATCTACACTTCCATCGGGGTCTGATATAACGTGCCGTTTCTGCCGATATTTGTTTTGCCTGTGGATTCAGTCGGCAAATAGATAAAACAGTAATGATATGGTCTGTCCTCGTTCTCTACCTTATCCTTTAGACAAGAGACGCGTAATGCAAAAGTAGAGAAAGAGAAGAGAGAGCATTTTAACATACGGACTCTATCTATCTCTGATCCGACTCTTATGCTAATCTGTCAAGAAACGAAGTAAACAAAACCATCCAACTCCAACCATATCCTGTATCGACAAGAAAGAAATCGTTATAACAATCCCCCCGCAAACAAATAGACAAGGGGAGAAGATAAAAGATCAACGATAAGAAAAAAAACAAATCCAACGTCCTCAACATCCACCATTAGGAAGAAACCCAAAATACACCACCAAATCAATCCCATAAATCCTCAAGACAGACTCTTCTGGCTTACAAACATCACACTTTCTGAATCTGAATCATTAACAATAGGACGGTTTTCTTTCCCCATATCCTCCTCGTCACTCGTTATCATCGTTGCGTCGTCGTCTTCGTCGTCGTCGTTCGCACTGTCATATTCCCCGTCGTCATCATCATCATCACCGGCATGATTCCCAGGGGCATAATGGTGGCGCCCACGGCGTTGCAAAACAGAGGGAGAAGATGATGAAGAGGACGATGAAGTGCCCACCTCATTCGAGATAAGTCTCGGGGAGCGGAAGAACGGGTGGTCTTCGCGGAGTGGCCATCCCTGGCAGATGTATCCCATCGGGGTCTGAGATATGTCCTGGCCGGAGCGGCGGACGGACAGCCATTCGTGCAGGAAGGCGAGGGTCTTTCTAGCTAGAAGGGAGTGCAGGTGTATGCTCCCAGCTTCTTCTGGGGTTCTGGCTATCCGGGCCAGTTTGAATATGTTAACACTTAGGTGGTTCATGATGGGTTGGTAGTCTGCGTAGTGGAAATAGAGACGGCCGGCGAGGAGGCCGATCTCGATCGGGAGCCATGCAGGCGGTTCCCATCTTGGAGGGAGGCTTGGCAGAGCGAAGTACTTTAGGTGACTGAAGTTAAGCATTCGCTTTGTTACCGGCGCGGCGTAGAGGATGAGGTGGACGATGGGGTCGGTGTTGGTGTCGTTGTTCGCTTCGCGGAGGATTGGGATAACGGCTTCAGCTTCTTCGGGGATGATAACGAGAGCGGTGCTTGTGCGCGGGCTCCAGAGAATCCAGTTCACGGGACGCTGGGACAATGAGTGATCAGTTGAGTCTGGTTTTAGAAAGATTGCGGGGGGATAACTTACTATCATGTTATCCATTTTTTTGGTGCGGTGCTTTTTGACGGTTCTGGTGAACTCCCAGGAAACGAACAAGTGGGCGAGAAAGGCCGAGCCTCTGATTTTGTATTTCATCCCCAGCTCTGTCGATTCTAGGAATTTGGAAGCCATGACGTATCCACGCTGACCCTGCAAACATCCTGTATTGACGAAGTCTAGGATGTTTTGATCGAGGCCTGGGAAACTGAGAGGTATGAACGAGGGAGGGCGCTGTACTTGTCTCTCTTCCTCGACTTCGAACGCCACTTCTCGTTCTTGCTCGACTTCTTCCAGCATAGACGTTGATATGCGGAAGATAGAATCTGCATGCCTCTGTCCTTCTGCCAGTTTCTGTAGAAACCCCTTGATCTTCCAATGTACTGATCCATCGGTAGGTATCGGGGACTCGGTCTCTCTCTCCCTAACTATTTTGGGCTGGTATAGTTCTTCGAGGGTCTGCTGTTCCGGTAGCTGTAGGATATCCAGATAATTCTTTCTATGATGAGAGTCCGTTAAGAATCTACTGTTAGTCCGAGACGCCTGCATTCGGCGACAGAAGTTGATACCCTGTGCAAAGTACAGAGGCTGCAACTCTTCCAGGTTGCGGCAAGTCTGATCAAGAAGCCAAGTAATGACGTGCGAAGAATCAATCTGGTCATTGGGCTCTTTGTCGCAAGTATCCAATATGCTCTGGTGAACTTCAGGGGGCGCAAGAAAGACAACCGACTGTGTCGTACCCAATTGACGAAGCCGCATAGCCGCTACAAATGTCAGTATCTTGGACATCGAGGTTTATATCACGAAAAGAACGAAAATAAAGGCGTACCTTGAACCGTGTGGTCCTTCGTCTGGTTCAAACCCAGCGTCAACGCTCCCTTGGCACAAACCGGCAATTTTAAGTCCGTCCCTCGTGTATGGGCTTCGTCCAGGTAAACCAAACAGCCCTCCAAATTCTCGGCAAACGGCGTCGCCAGTAGGGGAATAGGAGTCCTCCTATTCCGGTACAAAACCCAAGGCTTTTCGTGCTCGCCAAAGAACACCGCAGCCTGTGCCTCGTTGTCATGCTTCAGCCAAGTCTCAACGAATTGGCTGTTATCCATTTCAAGCACGAAGGCTCCTGCGTCGATGAGAATCCGGATGTTGGACCGTGCCAGGAGACCAATCAAGTCTGATTCAGTCATCCTCTTCCCATTCCCATTTACTGCAAGCATGTAGCGACGGTTTCGCTCTTGTAACAGATACGTTAGGACCTCCGCGTTGGTGTGTGAGAGACCCGGTAGGTCCTGCTGCTCAATGGTGAGCGGAAGCAGTCTCCGATTATCGTTCGTCCCGCTGAAACCAGTAGTGAGACCAGGTCTATTTGGCCGAGGGCCCTGGGGCTGTTCTTCTTCGTCGAATGATATGAGGGGGATGTCCCATCCAGATGTCTGTAATTTGATATTGAACTGCTTGGCATGAACCGGGAAGACAAAGTTGTTCAGGAAATGATTAATCACGACGACAGTAAACCGCAGATGGCGCCATATCTCCGTGACTTGAGCGCTATCATCCACGTTGATGATATTCCAATGTCGCAAAGCCTCAGGCAATGTCGTGGACGCTTGCGTCCACCGATCATATTCAGTCGCAGGATCGTCGGATTTCAAGATCCACTGTAAGCTCTGTCCAAGCTGTGGTTCGGTGAGACCTTCATAATATAACGCTAAACAGGTGAATAGAATCGCCACATCGGGGTGACCCCACTCAGCCTGGTCAGAAGGAACACCCTTCGCACGGAACGGAACCGCGATAGGGTCTCGTCCGTGGTGAAGGCCATATTGAACGTTCCACCTCTTTTTCAGACACAGTAATAGGATACCGTGAACAAACAATCCACGGAGAAGATAAACGACCTTCCTAGCATACAGGGTGCCTGAAAATAGCTCTGCCACGCGATCAGACACAGACTGCGTGACAACTTCTTTCGATATGAAGTCCCGAATCATCAGCTGCTCTTCGTTGGTACAGTCATGGATTGGCACAAGGAGCAACCGGCCACTGCAGACATCATCCACTAGTCTGCTTATCAGAGCGTGCTCTACATCTTTTCGCAAGAAATAAGCCATTGGGAATCCAGTTCCTGCGCGCTCGACGACATCGACGCTGTGTGGAAAATCCTTAGAAAGATCTCGGAGGTGATCAACGACCAAAGTCAAGATAGTCTCCATAACTTCCCATCGACGAGGATGGCCATCGACCGACAGCTGTGAGCCACTTGGGTAGATAAGCTGGGTCCTCACAGCCAAGGTAAAGTCGCACTCGTCAAGGACATCCCGACACACTTCACTCATCCAGCGCGAGGTCGCCACCATCTCCGTTGCCTGGTCCATCTTGAAATCTGAGACTCCTTGTAGCCCGCTAAGTCCGAATGAAAGGACATGCTCTGGGATATCCAGGACAATGCCTGAACTGCGTAGCATGTCTTCATGCAACTGCCGATATTCCTGAAGAAGGCCAGGTGAAATCGGGGTCCTCCGGGAGAAGGGTACATGGGTGATCTCTTTTCCCACGAGACCCCCAAGTCTAGATTGAAGGATCTCCACCGTCTGCGTCAACAATGACCGCGGAACAACGAACCTGCTCAGCATTGACCCATTGGCAAAAACGCATGCAAGCATGGCCATTATGACGGACGTTTTCCCCTGGCCCATGTTCATCTGCAAAGCAGTGTTTGAACCAGATGATGGGCATATCATCTCCAAGGCAACATCGACTTGATCCTCGCGGATGCGTATGTTGGAGTCAATCTCCAATAGCAGCCAGTCTGGAAACCGGATTGGCTCCCAGTTTATGTGGCTTGAGCTATTCTGTTCCTGAGCTAACTTCCTATTGTCTTTTCTCTTCAGGGCATCGTTGACCCGAAGAAGACGCTGCAAGTCCCCGATAGCCTGCGCATACAGCACGAGCGCCTCCTTCATGTTCGGCCCGTAATAATGGCGGTGGGTAGATCGCAATTGCTCAAGGACTGCGACAGACGTAGTGCAAGGCCACAGCATTCCTTGTTGGAGCCAATGATATCTGTCGTCGTTGTGCGTGAACGAGGCGCATAGTTTATTATGGCTCTGGTTGACCACATAGCGGGCGTCTGCTATTTCGCGATCAAAGTCATCATACCCTCTTACGCCAGACACTGGACCTGGTCTGATCGTTTTCAACGCCATGATGCTCTTCTTCAAGTCCTGACTGTACAGTGATCTCACGGACGACTTCGATTCTGCCAGGCTGTCTACAACAGCTTCAAGCTCATCAATTTCTGGCGTCGGCTGCTTGTAGGATACCGTCAGGTGGTTCATATCTGCACACAACCCATCTAACTGGAAAGAAAAAGACCGCACTCTCTTGCTTGGCCTATTGTATAGTTCAAACTTGTATTCTTTTTGAACCAGCTCAGTGCCCGAACGCGGAAGGGAATATGTGTTAGCTTTGACAGGCTCATATAACTGCGCCTCAGGCCTGGCGGGCTCGGGAGTACCAGTCTTGCCTGTCCAGTGTCTGTTGTAAACACTCTCTACTAGCTCCATGTGATGTTGGAATTCCGTGTTATCGTATATCCGACGCCATTCTGGAAGAACAGCCTCTAAGGCTTGGCTTTTGTCAAGGAGGGATCCAGAGAATTCATCCACGTGGGGAGATTGGCATGGCCATTGATCGATTATGAACTGCACAAAATCATCAGTTATATTATCACACGCTTTGTTGTGATCGTCTCTCTGTGATTCAGCCATTCTGAGCGCTTCTGGATCGTTTCGCTTCTTCTTTGGGAGTGGGATATCATTGTACGGTTGACAGCATGGTCTGACAACTGCTGCCAAAGCACTAGCATCGAGTTGCTCGCCACTCTTAAACCCGACAAAAGACTGGCCACAGGGATACCATAGAGATTTAAGTTCCTCTAACAGGAAAAAAGATATCAATGTCCGAATAATCTCCATGTCAGCATCGCTGCGAAAGGCTATCAGGCCCACGAAAAACATGATATGACATTCTCCTTGTGGCGGACAATATCGACATGAGTTGACCAGCGCTCCCCAGTTTTCACCAATATTCATGTTTAAGCACTCCTCTAAAGAGGACGGGGAGAATGTGTTCGTATACCCCCCTATGACCGGCCACGTCTCTAGGAACCCTCCCAGGCAGTATGGTGTGTTGATAACCCCTAGTTTCTCGTGTAACAAGGTCGCGACCTCGCGAACATTCAATGACCGTTCGGTGGCTTCCCGGACGTTTCGACCCCAGTAACGTTTATCAGGGACAGGAGCGAGATCTTTGTTCAGCTTCCCTGGACGTTCATAAATGAGTCTTCGCCAATTAGCTCGTTCTTGGAGAGGATGACTTTGGGTCATTGGTGAAGGCTGGGTGCTCGATAAAGTAGGGTCAAGGTTGAAGACAGCCAAGCGCCGGGATTTGTTCAAGATACCGTTGACCACGGACAAGAACGATTCATGTTGAATCGTGATGGTCAAGTGTGGATTCCAGGTGACAGTTTGCTGGGTTTCCAGCTCCTTTGGATAGTATGATCGCCGCGGGGTCAAAGCAGCCAACGTCGCTAGCACTTCCTGCTGGGGGAGCCTGAGAGGCTCCCACGGTTGACATCCCCCAGATTGGAGACACTGCAGAGACTCTTCTGTACCGGTACGACCTGTGAGGGGGTCTGGTAAGACGAATGACGTGTATGCGTGTAGTTGAGCCTTGGTGTACAGTAACAGCGGTTCTGGCGGACATTGCAACCGTCCTAGTACATCATCAATGATGTATCTGCCGTAGCGCGTATCATTGTCTTTACGGATGAGCACGTGGACTCCTTTCTGTTCAATCTGTATGTCTCCAAGAGGAACAAGTATGCTGCGCCTCAAAGGGTTTTGCGTGTCTCGAAGCACAAGCATGCTTTGCAATCCGTAAAAGGTACCTGCATCTTGATCCGGGTCTATTTCCGAAGCCAATCGTTTACATTCCAGTAAGCGTCGTCCGTTCACTCGAAAGTCAAGATCCATGCGCTTCAGCTCAATTGAGAGATTGGACTTCAGTGGCTGGAACACGGTTAACCCTAGTGAGGATTCGAATTTGTCGAAAATCTGTGCCACTTTCTTGGAAAGCTGGCTATGGGGGTCAACCAGGTAACTTGTCCGCCTATAACCTATGCTCGCGCGGAGATCAATCCTCCAATCTGACACCCTTCCTCGCCAGATAACCGGTTTTCGTCTGGCTTCGATTACCTGAGTCTGTAGGTTGACCCAGTGAACACAGTCGTAAACAATCGACCCAGGTAGGTCCAGGTTGCTTCCATGGCCAAACACATGTTGGGGTACGTATTCGAAGACAGCGTCAGATCTGACAGCTCTTATCACCATTTGCTTTCCTCTGCGGCCAAGATGAATCCGGTAACCGTCCTTATTCAACCCAAGCACATACTCCATCCCGGGCATGGTTGAGGGGAATGCGAGCAGTCGCTCAGGGCCAAACAAGAATTTCAACTCTTCGGAGTCTCTCATCTCCGGCGGCAGCTTCCCCAGCGCCTTTCCCCCAACAAGAAGGTATCCTTGGAGCAAATGGTAGTGTACGGTTTGCGGCATCGTATATTGGGTGGCTTTGACTTTGGCTGTAATCCAACTTTCGTGCGGCTGCGGTAAGAAAGACCACGGAGTGTACTGTCGTGGATCATCTTTAACTTCCGGCCAAACCGTGCTAATAGCAGCTTCGAGGCTCTCGGGATGTCGTTCCACTGCATGGTGAAGAAGGACCTCGAAGCTGAATGTCATCTTGATATCGCGCACAAACATGTTCTTCAGTTCTGTTGGCATCTTTTTAAGATCCCCCATATGCTCTTGCATGGCTAATGTAGCCTTGACGTAGGACTCCAGGCCTATTTGGCTCAATTCTTCCTCATAGTACGCATGCTGCTCAAAAGTCCTGCGACAGAGCAGCGCTGAAATAAATCCGTATCGAGCCACTGTTTTGGTAATACCCACATCTTCGGTGCCATTTAACTCACTTTGTATCAGATCAAGCCATGCCAGTGTGATCTTTCGGATCTTGGCAAGAAGAGTGTCTGCCTTGGCTAGAATTCTCTCGTGGCCAAGTGAGTAAACTCGCAATGTCAGTGTCAAAAGGGTTTCCATATAGTAACCCTCCCCCCAGTTATTGGAGATGGCTTCAACATGCCGGTCAACCTGCTCAATCAGTCTACCGCAAAATTCCCGGTCCTTGAAAATGACATGGACAGCCCGAAGCATGTCATTTCTGAGCTGGGGCCCTGCCTGGAGAACAATGTGACGGAAGAGCTCCATAGTGTCTTGAAGGCTGAAGTTCATATTAGATGAGCCGAGCTCAGCGAGAATGGACAACCATCTGCGAGTGGTGCCCGAGAAAAGACTATGATGTGCCATAAACTCGTGCACTGTCCGCGCGGGTGGACATTTCGTTATGTCTGCAATAGTCCGGTAAGATGACGGACCAGGCCCATCCGCTGCAAATTCAGGGGAAGAATAAAGGCCAGACAACGGGAGACTGGTTGGCAAGACTATGTGGAAATTATGAGCCAGGCTTAGTCGTTCTGGAAGATCGCGAGCCCAGATCTTGCAGACTGAGCTATAGTACCCGAGCTTCAACGGGTTAGGTAGTAGCACATCGTGAGGTTGAGCCGGCAAGCGAGTTGTCTTATAGTGCGTATCATAGTAGGATTTTGTAGTAGATGCTAGCGAGGATTTCGGCTTTTCTCTGCGATTGAATCTTGCCAGCGGAGAGTAATCACATAGCATGATTTCTGGTTTAGATGGCGTTAATTTTGGCCCAGTCATGAAAGACCGGCCCTTTGGCAGGCAAAATTTGTTGATTATCATCCAAGTAATGGTACGATATGCTGAGAACGCGCTAGGTGCATCCAGCTCAAATACGACAGACCTGCGTCGAGCTCTAGCATCCGGACTCTCAGAGGGAAGCAAGTCTTCATGGACATTGATCTTTAGACGCCTCCGACGTCTCACATAGTAGCAATGGCTACAGCCACGGATATCGTGGGAGCCGTTGTCTGCCAGTCGCTGGGTACAGGAACTTGAGCTTATTTTTTGAGTTAGGTCATGCCATTCCTTATTGAGGGCTTCCAGCTCAGCTTCCTTGCCGTCCCGCTGCTTTTTAGACACCGATTCGATGTCCGCTTCAAGCTCTCGCAGATATTCTGCCTCATTGGTTTCAAAATAACGATCTGCAAAGCATCCTGGTCTGGGATCAGTGAAGATAGTCATTGCAGATGGGCCAGCCAGTTCGTATCGCTCGTCGAGGTACTTTTGGATGATCTTTAGACGCTCCATGTCCCTCGGTGTTGACAGGAGGAGCACATCCAGCATTTTCGATTCGAACACTAGGCGATAGTCGTACAGGAGAGGATACGCATCAGTAGCGCACTCGCTCAGGTCAACCCATAGATCAAAGACATTCAACATGAAGGTGCCCATTTGTTCAGTGTTGCGATCATATGAGTCGCCAACAGACTGCAGGTATGTTTTAATCTGCCTTGAGATGCTGAGGCACAGATCCTCTGCATCCTTTCGTGAGGTTGTGGTCTTATGATCAGTGAGCGCAATGATCACCTCCAGGCCTGCTATTTCAGAGTGGCGCGAAATCAAAGCTTCAAGATCCTCATTGATGCAATTCTTCAGGATCACCGAACCCGGAGTCGTATCATGTTGCAACAATTTGTTTCTATTCTGGGTATTGGCGAAGAGGTTCTCGAAATAAGATCTGCTATTTGGAAGGGACAAACGGAAGTCGTTCTCTTTCGCTCGAAACGGAAGGAGCGGTATTCTTCGCTGGGTCTTTTCTTGGAAGGAGCTCCATTGTGCATCGATAGCGTGCTTAGCGGCATCGATTGCCTTCTGACAGAAAGGGGCAATATATCCATACAAATGGCAGTATCTCTCGAGATTGAAGGGTGTTAGGTTTTTCTTGCAGGTCTCCAATTTGGCTAAGCGGCGGCATAGCTTAGCTTTGAGAAGATGGCAAAGATGCGGGTTCAATTTTTCGGCAGAGTCCAGCAGCAGGCGGGCCAAAAGGAAGCACATCAAGAATTTGTAATTGACCATTCCCAACTCGGCGCCCAGTTCCAAGTAAAGAAGGCGCTGCACAGATACGCGCAAGACTAGCCAAAGGGGACATCGACGCCATGGTATCTTCGCATTTTCCCAGCATACATCATCCTTGACACGTTTACGAAGTAACGGGGGGCAATCAGGAGATCCATTCACCTCGAGAATGGTCATCACAAATTCCGTTATGAGGGCAGGGTCCACGGTGTCGCGCTCTTCTGCGATTTCAACGCCGGCCTTCCGTGCCTTCGCGGCAAACTCTCCCAGAGGTTCGACACCAGCCATTGCAAGAAATTTGGCCAGAGACCCTTGCAGATCTTGATCCTGGAACTTGGAGAGGGGAAGAGACACGGCGACGGTAGGAAAGTCCCATTCCAGGGCACCTTTTGCGGCCAGAGCCACCTCTGACGGAGGCGATGCCTCAAATGCTTCGAACTTTACGGTGTCATGCCTGTGAGACACCGGAAGGAAAAGGCAGGGTTGTCAGTCATCCACCGGGAGTAAATGAGAAATCGGGGCAAGGTCTCACTGAGTGTGGCGTATAAGGATAGCAGCGTTCTGCTCCTTGAGGTACAGAAGGATTGTTTGTCCAGGCTGTAAATTTTCAAAATCGCCCAGAATTACCTTTTCGTCGACAGCCTCGTTCTCGTCCATCACAATACTAGACTTTAAAGCTGCCGCGACGCGTCTCCATGTGGGTGTCACATCATCTGTGGAGTGACTCCTGAGTTGCTGGATCGCGAAGATCATGCGGAATCGAAGGCTCTTTTCCACTTCTCTAATGTCATCATCCTGGCTTCCCGGTAGCTTTGGAGGCAAGACGATGTGATTGAAAACGTGCTCCAAAACGGAAAATGTGGAAGCCATGGTTGGAGGAGGCAGGCCTATGACCTAGATCATGCAGACGAAAGATTCCTGATACAAGAGTGTCGAAATATGGGAGAATGGAGACGGGGGGTCAAACCCATACTATACACACAAAGATGGAGTACAAACGACGGATGTGACATGTCAAGGGGAGGCAAGAGTCTCTAAGAAAACCAGGCCAGACGGGTAGAAAGACGTAGTTTACAGTCACTGATAGACAATTCTCTCTTTTTTGTGTGAATGACCCAGATGAAGTGATAAATGCTTTGATTGCCAGGAACTGATTTCATATAGGACGTGGTAAATAGCCCTGGACGCAGTGAATGAAACAGTACCTAGTATAAAGACTGGTACTACGATACCTGAGTCCAAATTAGCCGCATAATTTGAGATACAAGGAAGTCAGACTGCTTTGGAGTAGCTTGCCATTTCAACAGATTGAAATATTTTGATCACTGCCTTTGAAAGTATAAAGGCCCTATGCAAATGCTCAGGATACTCATGTTGGAAGTATGAAAAATGAAGCCGAGTGGGGTCAACAATGGAAGCCGGAGAAAGTCTTGGTCCGTACGATCGGGCATAGCTGATCAGCTGCTTATCGCAGACTACGTCAAGCGATGGACAACATTCTAATATACCAGCAGCATGGATTTATATGGAACTCTAGACTGCTACTATGTAAAGATGTATAGCTCTGCTTGACTACTTGGTAAGATCCATGCAAATTAACAAATATAACTATCCAGCAGATGAAGAAACAGCCTAACCAGAGGCATTCTCCCACATCCACCGAACGATGTATTATGTACTAACTCGATCCCCAGTAACGGGTTCTGTGGAGTATACTGTACAAATATCTGGACTAGCGAACGAACCCAGATACAAGTCTTTGAAGGAAACAAGAGAAGAGGGTAAAAACGACAGGGAAGAGCCTCACAATAGATACAGACAGAGACTTCATATATACTCAAGAAAATTAAAGAAGGGAAAACAAACAAATAAAGAGGGGTGAAAGAGCAGAAAAAAAACGAAGAGGATATATAACTGCGCCCCGTGATTCCACCGTTTGTCAAAGCGCCATGGAGAAAAGCAATCAAAGAAAGAGAAAGAGAAAGAAAGCAGAGGGAAGAGACGTCTCTCTCCTCTTTTGCCGAGGGTAGATTATTATGTAGGTCCGAGATTGAATAAAAATTTCGGAAAAGGGACACCGGTCCCCGTCTCCGATGTCATTATGCAAGATGGCCGATGGAATGACTGAAAGGGAGATGAGACGTTCCATAGCTATACGTTGAAGGAGAATCGTCCAGTCCGTCCGTAAACACCGTTTTGACGCGTCTGGGGCCGCGTATTCCGTGCATTGTTGATTGGGATAATTAAAGAAACGAAGGAGTTGAAGAAAGGCATGTAACCGTAAAGTCGAGATGGGAGGGAGAGGCATTATGGGAGCAAGCCGTCAGATCATGCTGGTTAAAACAGCTGTTTCACATCAATGGCCTCGACTTTCTTGGGACGCTCTCGCTCCATGTGAAACCACCAATCTCGACCACTCTTGTGGCTGTAATTCCAGGATCCAGTGCAGCTGTCTTTCTCCCAAGGCAAGGCCGACATCGATGAAGGGCTCATCGGAGTGATTGGCGTTGTCGGCGTATTGGGACTTGTGCCCATCGTCGAGCGGCTGCCGAGACTGCCCCAGCCGAACCGGGAGGCGGTTGTTGACGCTGGAGACGGGGGCTCCTCCGGAGGCGGGATGACACCACCTTTGTTGCCAAAGCAATTCACTCCGACGCCCGCCGCATATGTTAACGACTGATTGGTGGCCAGAATTTGCTTCCAGCCGAGCAGACCCCCGTCCGCCTCCTGGCCGGGGAGATCGGGGCGAAGGACGAGACGCGGGATCGACACGCCGTTTCCACCGACCTTGCATCCGGTGCGGCCCATATAGGCGGGCATGCGCGAGTCATACACGATCAAGGGGCCTTCCGGTTCTTCCATAAACTCGAGGTCATCCCTGGGCTGTTTCCGGGTTCGCCACTCTCCAAGTTGGTTCATTTCCATGTTCTCCAGTTCGTCATCCGACATGGTCTCCAGAGCAACATCAGGCACGAACGAGTCCGAATGATCGTCGATGAGTACCCTCAGTCCCGTTTCCGTATCTTTCGCTGCCATGTCAATGAAGGTCTGGGCGCGGATCCGTGCCGATGTCAAGTTGTTCCCTGCAGGCAGAGCCAATGGCCGGGTGTTCACGGATCCATGGGAGCTGCGCGGAAGGCTGTATCGGTCGGGCTGGAGCAGGGCTTGTCCGCTGGGAATCGGCCGACAAACGTTCTGGAGCACACCCGGGGGCTCGATATCGGACGGGGCGCGAAGGGCTTCGAGGTTGGGAAAGCCCGCCGACAGTATGCTTTGGGCAAGATGGGAATTCGGCGTGTCCACGTGCTTCGGTGGTTTGGCGAAGGGGGCCGAGTCGAACTTAGTGAGTGCGGTACCGGGGTTAGGGCAGGCGACATCCCAATGCAGGTACTTGAGGCTGGACGACGCAAGGATCGGTTGAAAAACGATCCCATCGACACTCAAAGTGGGACATCGGTTTGTCTGAACAAACTTGAACCGCTCCAAATGACGCAGGGATGACAAGATCTTGGAGATCACAAGCAGCGAATCGATATCCTGTTCAATGAGGGTGAATGACTTGAGTGAACCCGACTCCGGACGCGAGGTGTACTGTGTAAGGCCAGTATCTGTGACACCGGGCAGGGACTCCAGTCGAAGGGACTCCAGCGGCGGCAGGCACAATAGGGCACTATCGCCAAAGGCGTCGTCGTTGAAGTTGGAGATGCAGAGGTTGCGAAGCGAGGGGAGCAAGTTGAACATGCGAAGAAAGAGACTCGGCTCAAGCGCACTCTTCTCGTTCAGGGCGTAGAGCATCAGGGTTTCCAAGTTCGTCCAAGAAGCATGATAGTCCAGAAACTCAAACATCTGCAGCGGTCCCAAACTCCCCGGGCACGACGTGCTGCGAGGGGAATCCTCCGACACCTCGGGGGCTTCTCCCAAAATCCAGGTATGCTCCTTCAACTTGCGCCTGGTCGATAATGCGTGCGTCAGTCGGTCGAATTCGTGGTGATACGGGATGCTCAGGCCCATCAGTCGCTCCAGGTTCGGGCAGACCATGACGACGGAGGCAACCAAATCTCGATATTCCTGCCATTGGGTGCTGTGTTTGCTCGTGGTGAACAGCAAATCCATCTGCGGTACGCGCAGCTCCAGGACGAGGTTGGCCAGCAACTTCCTCTCCCGGAGCGTGCGTCGGAGAAGCTTCAAGCGGCTTCCCCGCTTTAGTTTGTATTTCTTCAGCTGGGCTGGCGAATCATTCCCGACTATGTGAATCCGATTGTATCTAACGAGTGTCATTTCAGTCAGCATGTCTTCTTCGACGCACAGCAACCAACCAACTCACAGTCGAGCGCGAACTGCCTTTTCCCAAGGTCGGCATGTCAAAGACAACGCATGCAAATCCCGCTGGAAGCACGTTACACATCCCGATTGGCACGACCCAGTGTGCAGGATTTCAAGCTGGTCTATGATGTTTTCGTATACTTCTTGGGGGACACGTTTGAAAATGGATTCGAGGATCTTATCCAGGGAGGCCGCAGAATCGCATTGTCGATACGACAAGGTAGACGGGGTCGGAGAGTAGGCAGTGGGTGCGGTCGAGGCACTGTAGTTGGTTTTGAAGGAGGAAACGGAGGAGGATCGAGAGGAAACTGGCTGAGCCGGTGCGCCAAATCCAGCGTCCTTGTAGTTCTGCGCGTATTCTGGCTGATCGGCGATTGGCGTGTAAGCAACGGCCGGGTTCTCTGGTCTACTAGCGACAGCGTTCATCGTGAACCCTTGATTCGCATTTGAGGGACATCAAGACCGGACTCGAGCAAGCAAGGGCGGGCAGAGGAAGATGGCGACCTTTGATAGAGAACGAGGAAGAGAAAGGAGAGAAAAAAGGTAAATGAGTGGAGAAAAGGATGGGCGACAGGGGAAGAATGCTGAAGTGTTTGGTCGGTATGTACGGATAGAAACCCAAAAAAAACAATGATATATGACAACCAAAAAATAAAATAAAAGATAAAGAGAGAAAAGATAGGGAAAAGGTTTGATATACTCGATCCCACGGACCAAAGAGTGTTCCAGACAGGAATAAAAAGACCAAAAAAGAAAAGAATGTATGTACGTGTGTATGTATGTATGAATAAAACTAAATGGTTGATAGTTAAAGAAGAAAAAGGAAAGACAAGGCTATTTTAGGATTTGATTATGGGATGAAAAACGAGGGGAACAAAGCGCGGGTTTGACTACAAGCAGGCAAGAACATGGTGAACTAGTGAGTCCAAAAGGAGCTTAACCCAGGGCTCTTTCATGCAAAATCGCGTTTCGAGGGCATCCCACAGGCACGCCAACTGCTGGGTTGAGTTTAGACGAAGCGGGCTAAAGGGGATGGGACGGCATCGGACGGCCGATCCTCCCCACAAAAGGAATGATGATCTTGGATTTGCTCTTCTGTAAGCACTGTGTCGTCTGGTGAGGGTGTGTCACCGACACTCGTGCCAAATGGGGCCCCTTGGACAGGCAACGACAGTGTGTAGGCAGCTCGTGCAGGTGTGTCCTCACCGCTATCAGGAGGCGTCGCGAGATATCCTATCCCCAATGGCGAAAGAGAGTCTTCCAAAGGTTTTGTCTAAAAGGGATATGATTAAAACAGAAAGAGCAATAGGGGAAAAGAACCGTAGCGGGACTAAAGCGTTAGTTGGAGAGTTAGTCCTCTTGAGAAAGGATGGGCGGGTAGTTGGCATAAACCCAAATCAGTAAAGATGTGAGCTTTGACTCCGCAATTCTGGGTGATTATTTTCTCATGGAGGTTGAACAAGCATGCCGTCAAGAGACTGGGGCATGGCACTAGCCCACGGACGCGAGAGACTTTGAGACTATTGCCATTCCCATGACGCCAGGGACGAGCCCAAGGTAAGGTGAGTAACGGAGGCTGGGAAGGGGAAAAAGAAGAAACTGAATCCGAACTGCCCCAAGTCACCTGTTTGCAAACCCGTGGGATCATTCCTCCTTTGGGCTTAGTGTGCTGTTCCTGACGCTAGGCCCCATTCAGGCCGTTCACTTCTGCGCATGACTAATTAGTAGTAATATCCCTTGGCGAACCCCTTTTCTTCTCCTCTCAGTCTTCGAGCCCTCACTCCCCTACGTATTACTTGACAATACTCGAGGAGTGTAATACTCGGAGAGTCCTACTCAGTATGTTTCAATCGGAGCAACGAGACACAGCCATCACGGATCAATCTTTGCAGGATCCGTCCCTCTCCCAACCACACCATTCGGTTCGAACGATGGGGTGAGACCCTGTACAAGAACACCCGCTGATTGGTGCTCTGTCTCTCACGTCAATCAATCCCCGGCATCAATGCAATCAATTGGATGGGTTTGTCTCAAATTCCTGACTCGGTATACTAAAGTACTATCAATCCCTGCCAGCCCATCCATAAGTTAAGCAAACCCGCACAGAACGCCCATTGATACTTGCCGTAACATGAAAATCAAATATCAACCTCTCCTCATCCCCCCTTCCCCCCCCAAGATCGACATCAGAAATGGGGATGGTCATGGAATAGTGGACCCCGCCACCCCGACCAGTGCATGCAGTGCGAGATAACTATCTGCAGCGCCAGTCTCCAGTGAACCGCATAGTGCCTAGGGCTGATTGTGAAACACGAGCGCCGTTCATCGAGTCGTATCAAGTGGGCGTATCATATCCGGTGTGGGTCATGATCAGGAAGCTGAGTCCACTCTTGAACACCCCGCCACAGGGGAGAACAGAGTAGGTTTATGTAGCCCCTAACAGCCGGAAAGACCTTGGGAGGCGGTTCGGATTGAGATCAGGACGTGAAGGAGCACGTTCCTTGCCATCGAAGACTGACGTACATGAAACTGAACGGTGTGGTGATTGACAAGTGGACCAAGCGGTCTTCCCACGGTACTCCGTCTTAACACCGGCAGAAGTGACTCTGATCAAAATTTTTCCTTCCTTCCTTCGAGTCCTAGACGAACAAAACATGAACAGTGAGACACACTCCATTTCTCAAGTAATAGACACTCTCCCAATGAAACAACAAAACATGTATACGTAAGTAATAAATGAAATTCTAAGACAGCATACAAACTCCTACTATATATAACACGACCTCCTAATTGCACCGTAGATTACTACAATCTCGGTAACTACATATTAACCAAATCCTACCTACAGAACACCTTTCCAGAACAAGCACCCTACATATGTGGAATGATGCCATTCCATCCAATAAACTCAAGCCCCGGGAAAACAGACTTTCCCAGCCATAGCGAGCCAGTGTTTGATTCTCTTAGGCAATCGACGCATGCAGGTTGCACACGTGGGACGTGGACTCCTTTCTTCTTTCTTCATTCCGCCCCTTGTTCTCCCCGAGGTCCTAAACATCAGTAGTTATTTACCTGCCCATTATTAACCTGACTATCCTCCTCCCTCAGGGGGAAACATACACACACGTACAAAGTACAAAAACACAGATAGGGCAAATCCTTCGCCAGGTAACCATAAAACCAAAAATAGATCGCTTAATAATTCAATTATGACTACACTACAACCCCAAAGCAAAGCAAGTGAAGGTCACGAACCTACAAGGATAAGACAGGGGGTTTTCCCGCCCCCAACCACCTATCATTGCTCGTTCGTGCACGGTGGCTGACGTTTGTCATCTAACTTATTGTTTACATCCATACACACCAAGGGCTATAGAACCATTGCGTTCCCGAGACTAGTCATAAAGGGAAAAGAAGGGAACCCGGACCTTGAGGAGAACAGGCAGGGCCATAATACTACCTTTGTAGTTCGTGCTATCCAGTTCAGAATTGCACTGCCTAATCTGGACATATTTATTCCCGAGGTCATCACCTAAGCCGTGTATATATTCAGGCCACTCACACACATACAAGTAGTTTGATTCATATATACTCCGTACTTTAACTAGAATCAATTATCACTCCACACAATACACTATTTACTTGAGTATTCGATATATAAAGTTAATTTCAAATAGTGAGTGAGTATACCCCTGTTTCTTTTTTCTGTTCCTTTTTTTTTGTTGTTTTTTTCAGACATACTTATTAGTATAACCTTGGCCAAAAAGAGCAAATATATAATCCTCGTACTATTATCAAATCAAGTGAGATGACACATGTAACACGAGGTCAACTTTCGTATATGACATTGTTAACCTGCTGGATACGAGTTACCTAGTTGTCGGGATTGTACTATTTAACTTGTTATTTCTATATATATATATTGGTATAAATAGGTGGTCTTCTACCAGGTATGGAACCATCATTTTACGACCGTCATAGTTGTCATAGCGAAGTGGTCCTATTTCCGATACCTAATTTCAGAGTACATTCCAAGTGACACTTGGCAAAATTAATCATCTACAAATAAAACAGACTTGAATGATGATTCGAATGCAAATCCATGATGCACATTGTTATCCATAACTAGCTCATCCAAACAATCATCACCATCCAACAAACTAGCTAGGTACCTCCAGCGCCATACCCGAAAACGCCACCACTTACACTACCCTGTATCAGATGATAGGTAGTCCATCACATCCAACCTATCCAATCACATCGCTTAAGAAGGATGAGAACGGACAAGTTCAATGGGTGTAAAAGCCGAGTCTGCAGAAACTGTACGTAGATCAATGGCAGGGATAGAAGCCACTGGAAAACAATGGAATTGGCCGGGCCAGGAAAGAAGAAAACTCCGTGTTTGCAAAAGTGCATAATGCATCTGGGAAACAGTTGACTGGTGGGGAATATCCAATCTATCCAGACGGATGATTCGTGGGAAAACAAGACCAGAAGAATGAGATAAGGAAATTCCGTTGCCATCCATAAATGTAAAGGAAAAATGGGAGAATGGGAGAAAAGAAGATGAAGAGAGATTACATGAGCCAGCTGACGAGCGAATGCAGACCAAATTGCGAAGCTCATTTATGAGGCATGAGGCATGTACAAAACAAAACAAGGGATATATGCAGAAAGAAATCACAACTCCTTTATCATGCAGACATAATCACATGTCAAAATTGTCATCAACGTTAAAGATACCAGGCTCACCACCCTCGTTCGTCTTCTGCACGCCACTCATGCGGTGATCATGAGTACCCTTGGCCCGCTGGGAGCGCTGCCACGATTCCGGGTCCTCGTCCATGTGATCGCCGGTTTCGTTCTTGAAATGGTGCTCGATAGAACTCTCATTGCTGAAGGTGAACCCTTTGAAGTTGGCCTGCATCCCAGGCGATAGAGGTGTCGAGGCAGGCATAAAGCTGTTGGCGATGGCAGCAGCGTGGTGATTCAGCGAGCTGTTGTTGTCAAGGGCGTTTGTGAATTCGGGGTCGAAGTTGGACGTGTCGGTATCCGACTTGAGCTTCGGCTTGAACGGGGGAATGACCTCCTTGCGGCACAGCACGTCCCAGTCGACATCGTCAAAGAATGGGTGCGCCATGAGTTCCTTGGCATCGCCTTTGGCTCCCAGTCGGTGCTTCGGATTCCGGTTGAGAAGACCCTTGACGAAATTCCGTCCCTCGGTGCTAAGCGCATCCCGGGGGAACCGGACCTTGCCAAACGCAATGTTCTTGTACATCTGCTGCGTGTCTTCTGCGTAGAAGGGGCTCCACCCACAGCACATTTCGAAAACGAGAACACCGAGGGACCAGAAATCGACCATCTTGGTATACCCTTGCTCGTCCAGCAACACCTCCGGCGCCAAGTATTCGGTCGTCCCGCAGAAGGTGTTTGTGGTATCGTTCTGGGTCAGGTTCGCCTTGGAAAGGCCAAAATCGCAGAGCGCAATGTGCCCGTTCGCATCAAGCAGGATGTTCTCCGGCTTAAGATCCCGATATACGATGTCGTGGTCATGAAGATGCTGGAGGGCGAGGATCAGTTCGGCGATGTAAAATTTGGCGCGGGCTTCTTGGAAGCGGCCTTCCTTTTGCAGGTGCCAAAAGAGCTCGCCACCGGACATGTAATCGGTCACCAGGTATAGGTCGGTTGGGGTTTGGAACGAGAACTTGAGCCCGACTATGAACGGAGAGGCCGTCATGGCCGTCCGCACCAAGATATTCCGCTCGCCCAGAGTG